GATCCTGAGCAACCTGATCAAGTGAATGGCATTCCCTATTCATGGAGGAGAGGGATTGGAACTAGATGATCTTTAAGGTCCAAACCAACCCTATGATTCTATCCAAAAAATATGTGGCAAAACACACTTCTGTATTAGCATGCTTGCTATTATATTCCTACGGTTAACAGGACTTTAATAGGAGTAAAGAACTTAATTCTCTAGAATTATAGTGCCTGCCAGATCTTTCAGTTTATCCCTCAATAAAACTACCCGTTATTGAAAAAACAAGCTTACACTGTGAAAAAATCCTCTACACTATATTTAGAGAATTCCAGATTTTAATTTCACTACAGAAAACACTGGAGTTACTCTTTTGTTAGAACTTTCAGCCCAGAAGAATCTGGGCTCAACTGGAATTACTGTTGCAAGACTTGAGATAAAGGACAAGTACTTCATGTCACAAGGGCAAGAAGTGCCTTAATAGGGAAGGGGACCACCCCCCCCCCCCCCCCCCAAAGAAAAAACAAAAACAAACAAACCCAACCAACCAAACCAAAACAGAAACACAACTCCCAAAAAAGCAACAAACCAGAAGAGTTTTGCAATTGATACAGAGAGGAAGTAACTCTTGTTTTGGCTTAAGAATAAACAAAACTAAGACAAAAACAAGTTTAGTTTTATTGTCCCTAGCAACTTTCAGCAAAACACTCAGTAACCACTTTGGGTATAGATGCTAAGTATCTTTTTGCCACCCTGCTACAAGCAAGAACCAAAGGAAATAAAACCAGCCAGCATTCAGTCACATTGGACTTGTTCAGGTAGAAAATTACATTCTGGTAACAAAAGAGACAGTGCTGCATGAACTAATCAAAAACAGCAATGCAGCAACAGAAAAAAAAGTATATAAAATCAACGCAAAATTTAATTTAATTTGACTATAATCACTCTGCATATATTCTTATATGGAAATAAAGGAAAAGTATCTTAATTCAAACATTAGAGCACTGAACACAACTGAATTTCCGAATGTTCAGAAAACAAAGCTCAAAGAAAAATTATAGTTTAAAGTAACACTAACATTTAACATTTTTAACAGTCTGTGTTTCTAAAACCTTATTTATTTATGTAGATAACAAATTTTCTCACTTTTCCTTTATTCTCCTGAGCAGTAGAAGCATGCACTCCCTCCTCTGAAACCTTCAGAGCTTGTGCTAAGTCCAGAAAACCTACTGAAATCACCTTCTGAGGGTCACCAGAGAAACAGCAAAAGACAAACAACAAATTCCTTCTTCTCATATACCAGCATCATCTTCAAAATATTGGTTCCAGTCAATTTAATTGGAAATTAAATTGATTAATTATGATGAGAATATTACTCTTCAGGCACAGGGAATTTTCATAATGAAGCCTTTTAATACCTTGCAGACTAATTCAATGCTCATAGTAAAATTCTGTCATGTGTCTCCCATTCCTTCAAAAATATTTTAAGATCATGATATTGACTGAAAGACAAAACCTATCAGGAAATTCTACACCAAGCTCTTAAAAACTTTGCAGTTACAATATTTAAGATAAGAATGTTCAGCATGAGATTAAGCATGGGTAAAGGTCAAAAACTCAGCTCCTTTTTTGGAAATTCAGATTCTATTCGGACACTCCATATAAACTCTACAAAGTTTCAAATGTGTCCTCAAAGTTATTTTTGTGAGAACTATTAGTCCTTTTTACCATCTATAATACCCAACAAAAAAACCCAAAATCATATCAACTACTTAGGACCACACTTGCTACATTTGCATGCTTTCAAATTCCCTCCCTCCGTTTTTTAATTTTTATCTTCTACAATTCCCAAGTTTTTCTTTCACAGAAGATTATTTCTGTGTACCAAGATACTTGTTTCTGAATGCTCATTTCCTGCCCCTCAAAGTCTTCTCTGCACTCTAGAGATCCCAAGGTTAAGGGAAGCTCCCTGTCTGACCATCCAGGTGTCACTCTGGCATCAGACACCCTCCCTGCTGGGACAGAGGCCCCTTCACAATGGGTGGCTCCATCCCTCACAGGGCTCTCTGCTCAATTAACAAAACCTGACTCAGCTCATCCAGCACTTAAGTCCCTAAAAGCAACACTAAGAAATATTTTAAAAAGTATTATAACTATTTCAATTTACAATTAATATATCAGTTATCAAAAACCAAAATTACAATCAGGTTTTATTTCATTCCCTTCTGCTCACCACATTGTGAGAATGGTTTTAAAGACCTAGGATCTTGCTAGTGGCCCATGAAACACTGGTACTAAGGAATGGGACAACAAAAGTTATCAATATTGAAGGAAATCCTGAAACTAACATGAATTTTATGTTCAGGCTATATGCTAACAGGGCAATGAAAACAGCTGTATTGTATTTAAGCACACATTCAAGCTTGAAACAGTTTACTTATACCAAACACATGAAAAAATACAGAAACAGAGCACTTCAACATAGCAGTGAAATATTCTTAAGGCAAGACTACTTAATGAGGAGTCTTCAGAACTTACTGGCTTATAACTCACATTTTGACTCTCAACATTTTTCTTCAGTTTAAACTGAGGCTTATATCTCAATTCTGAACAAATTAAATAATACTGAAAATAACTTCAGTGCTTTTATTAAAGCCAGTGATTTTTTTCAAACAGTTTCAAAATGCTGCTGCTACTTATGCTGTCACAAGCTTAATAGTTTTGGGTGCATATTAATGATTATATTTTTAAAAGACAGTAGGTTGAAACATCCCTATCAACAGAAATCTTCATTGAATATTGGAAATTTTCTGGAAAAAATGCTGAAAGCCAAGGTCGATATTCTGCAAAGATCTAATAAACAAGAAACATAGCTGAATTTAGTCCTAATTACTGGCTTAGATATGTGAGATATTATACTACAATTAAGCATGCAAAATTCTTGGGAAACTCTGAACTTAAAATTAAACAGGGCAGATGGAGACTACTCTTTCAACTGCTATTTCAAGATAAAATGATTTAACACCAGCACCTAAATATTACTCAGATTTTCAACACCTTAACAACTGAGGAATTCATTCCAGGCCAAAAAAAAGAAGTCTGTCATGATTCATGACAGCTAAGGCAGGAAAAAGGGTAATAATTGCAAAAACCTGCAAAGACCATGTCTTTTTTATTTTTTGTGTTGCTCTTACTTAATGACTGCCATAAAACACTGGCCTTGGGGTTTTATCAATGCAGATGAGCAACTCAAGCAAAACACCTGGGGTGGGAAGCATACATATTTTGAAATTCTATACAAAAATTATAAAATTAAAGAAATCATAAGACTCCTCTGTTTAACAACTTAAAAATCCAAGCACAGAAAACACACCAACTAATCCATCAGAATTACAAAAGGCAGGTACAATTTAGTCGTTTGAACCACTGTCATTTACAGAATTTATTTGCCTCATCAACACAGTTTATATTACAAAAATTGAAAAAAAGTATTTCTGGCACTTCAAAATTTTTCAAAATCAGCACCCAAACCCATGGCTGTACTTGCAGCGTGGATACATATCTTAGAGGTTCACTGTCCTCATCTACTGATCTATAACCAAAGTGAACAACTATGGCTCTGTCCCCATTAGAAAGTAACCTGAAACCGTAGAAATGGATCACTAGATCAAAGCAGCTGGTGCTGACACTCCTACGCTAGCTGTTCAAGAGGGTTTATTTTGGATTAGATTTCATCTGGTCTCCAGAAGCAAACATCACTATCACATGGACCATTCAAAATTTTCCAGGAATTTCATGATTGATGCAGAACTCCATGTCCCCAGTAGAGACAGAACAGCACTCTGCCCCTGCAGCAGAACTCACAGACTAGTTTTCTGAGAAAGAAATGTAGTTCAAAGACACAGAGCCAAGCAAGTGGTAAGGGGAGACAACAGTGAGATTTTCTCCAAAGCAGTTTTAATCATCCAAATCGCAATTGTAATGTATACATTAGAGTTAAACCCCACCTTTTCAAACCAGACTAATCAAAAGAGATGTCATGTCATAAACAGAATACTTGATGGCACTGAAAGACTTCAGAAAATTCTGTAAGAGGTCTTCTTAATGCCTCACAATTGAAAAACAAAATCATGATAAAAGACTATTTATTGGGTTCCACAAAAAACTTATTTCCTCTGTACCAGAATTCAGCAGAAGACATAAATCTAGATATCCCTATTTCTTAGGCTTCATTTCTCTTCACTTATTTACTTCATCTTTTATGTCCTATTTTCTGACTTCAAATATTTTACTTCTCTTCTTTCTACCTTATTTCTTCCAGCCTTTCTCTCGTTTACTTATTCATTTTCTCCTATTACCTGTGCTATTAAATACAGTAAGGGAAATGTAAATATTCTTGCATCTCTGAACTTTTAGACAGAGGTGTCAGTATTGTTTTTTCCCTGGAAAGTCAGATAGTATAGTCTGAGAAAGGTTTGTAAGCACTACTGCTGTGATTTAACTTCCCCTAACTCAAAATTTAAACAGGGTAAAGATGATCATGGGCTTACTGCAATGACTCAAATTGATCTCTAAATACTGTGCTAACCAACTATGGAAATTGAGAAAAATGAGATTAATGACACAGGAATATTAGTCTACTGTAAGACTGAAATTAGCCTGGTTCTAAACATCATCTCAGAGAACAGCCACAGGAACAAAGAAATACTAAGGAAAGCTCATCAAGGGATCTGTGGAATGCAATAACTTCACTAAAGAAACAGTAGATAAAATATATTTGGTGTATACATGCTTTTTACGTAAGATGTAAAGCCAGGAATATATTGCTTAATCTCTGCCCTTTATTTTCTGGGCTATGTAATTTACATTATAATTTAATCCTCTAGATTTGAGGTTATATGCCAGAATTTCTCCAAGAACTGTAAATTACAAATAGGATTTTTTTACCTTTTTTTTCACATGCAATTAGTTCATTAGTTGCTTAGAATAACCAAACTCAAATTCAGACTTAGCTAGTTTCACTGATGTTCAGTATACAAGATCCAAATAGATTTCCAGAAGAGTTTGCAAATGAAAGAATGGGCTTCTCCCTGAATTTGCTAAATTTAGATGAAAACAAACAAACAAAAAAAAAAAAACAAAAAAAACCCCCCAAAAAAAAAATCAGATCTCTTTAGAGCAATTCCTAAAGAAAAACTGTCTTTTAAGAAAGATAACACTATACAAATTTTCACATGTACATAATCTGAAAATTTTAAGTATATTATATTGCCCTTCCATTTCAGAACAAATATGGTCTTCATGTTTTAAAAATGTTACTTGAAAAGCAATATCAAAGATGCACAACACATAGAGGTTTTCAGGTTGCTCAAAAAGAAGTATTTCAAAACTTTTAACCACACACAGCCTGCGCTGTCCAAAAAAATCAATATTATTATGATAAAATAATGATCTTGTGAACATTAGAGAATGTTCACATAAAAGCAATAAAGAGAAAAAGCAAAGAATAGAGAAAAACTGAATGAAAAAAATCAACAACAGTTATGGAAATATACTGCTGAAGCAGAATTTGAAGGACCAAATCAACAGTACATGCATGGTAAAGTTAAGGAAAAGCACAGAGTACAGAAGAAAATCTTCTTACTCAGTGTTTGTACCTGACGCTACAATGCAGTCAAGGAGATTAGACCTGTTTACTTCTCACAGCCCAGCTAGAACATGCTCAGTAGCCCTGTCTGCTTATGACTAAAAGGATTTGGAACATATCTACCTCATCTGATTTGGACAGATGAAATGGATTTAGGAAATTCATTGAATTGGTACAAAACATATTTTCAGAAATCCATCATGCTGCCTAATGTAAATGGGACAGCAGAAAAAAATATTGCAGCATAACAATTTGTTTCTCCTAAAACCTTGAGTGCTTGCTCCAGCACATGCAGGTGCTTTATTTTTCCAGTGGCAAAATTTTCATTGCATTTTGCATCAAGAAAACAGTACATTCCTCCCTCTAAACTCATCCTCACACACAAGCTGATGCTTGGTCAAATTTTAGGGGAAGGAGACATAGAGCAGAGATTTAAGTCTTAGTAAATTATAAGCAACTAAAACCAGGGTTCTGGAACAGAAAGTGTCAAGCATCATTAACTACAAGCACTGCTACCTGTAATTCCATTCAAGACCATATTTCATGTATGACCAAGCACCTCCAATGCATTGTAAGCCACTAGGAATACAGGAAGGCTTTCTGCCAGCAAGACAAAATAATCCCATTTCAACAAGTTTGGCACAATGTCTGTTCTACATAAATAGACCGATTTCTTGGGGGTTTTTTTGACCCAGTATAAAAGTGGATGTTTTGACCCAATCAAAAAACCAAGAGAACATCTGAAAAATAACACCTACTTAGAAAGATAAAACATAAAAAAACATATACATGAAATCTACAGAGGGCCATGGCCACGATCCTCATGATACACTGTATCAAAATCCCTTTGTTGCTCAAAAGATGAACCATAAACAAACTACCCTGCTGCTCTGTGCTTCCCTCTGTGTGATGCACAAAGCAATCAGCAACCTTACTTCAAGCTACAACACGGACAAATCTTAAAAAGATGAAAATCTGCACCTCCTGGCCCATCCTCAGCTGGACAGTACCCAGTGTCCAATCAAGGAAGCAGGGAGAAGCAACCCTTTCATAAATAAAGTGACATGTGAACAGAGATACTGGTAATTGAACGCATTAAGATGCATTCTTCTGTTATATCCTTACATGAATGGGGTATTAAGTCATCTCCACAAGAGCATCTGCAAAAAGAAATCCAAAACAAAACAAAACCAAAAACCACACCACACAAAAAACCCAAACAAACAAACAAACAAACAAAAAACCACTCAGAAAAGCAGTGAGCATGGCAGTCCATATGCTCATTCACTGCAACACATCCCTGGGAGAGACATTAGCTTAGTCTCCAGAAACCACAGGCCACATTAGCACATTGCACTGCTGGGGACAGGGCCTTCACAAGGTCTGGGCTTTTTCTTCCTTCTAGTTTCCAAGGCAGCTCAGGTACAGTTCAGTTGTTTCATTCCATGCTCCAGTGTACAAGATAAAAGCTTATAAAAAGCTTATTTGAAGTTTATTCTTGCCCACGCACACCATTAATTTGAATCTCAAATTGAAGTGGAATGTCTACCTTGCCTGAGGTTGAAAAAGAGCTGTTTCTGTTTAAAGCATTACTGTTCCAGTAGCAATCATATCTACATACTTACTTAAATTACCTAGAAATACATTGTGCCTTGTAGAGTGGGTGGGTAGCATTAGTAGTCCAAAGGTGATGTCATCTGAGTAAGTCTTCTTTGGCACAGTCTTCTGAAAAACAACAAAAAAACCCATCGTTTAATGAAAATTAATCTGTTTAAAAAAACTTTTTGGGGATGAGCCCTTGATTATTTCTGTTTTCTCTCCTGCCACTGCAGTAATTTCATATGCGTTCTTAAATTGTCAAAAAATTCACTTTGTAATTTTCTATTCAACAGAATGATGTAAATACTCATGAAGGAGAACTTCAACATTGCACACCACCTTTTACATAGCTTTGGCACTGTCTGAAATCCAAACCTGTGAGACAAATGCAATAGCCCAATGGTAACACCAAATTTACAGATGTAACTACATCTACAAAATACCAATATTACAATTATTGCATTACAGTTGCTTCAGATTGTGTTATGACCTTGCAGAACATTAATAATGCACTATGCAAACTTCTGGAAAGAAACTGCATCAACAAAATCTTAACTGTGTGTACTATGGTTCAAAAAGGACACATGAACTACCTCAGCACACAACCTGAAACTCTCAGAGAAGATGGCATGCGACATCACAAGACTCCCCTCACCAATCAAACTCCTCTCACAAATAAAAAACCAATTTCATTAAGATGTCCTGAGCAAAAGCTAACTCTACAACAGAGATTTTTATACACAAACACTTTATTCAACAAAGAAAGAGCTCCCCACCTCCTACAGCTCATTCTGTACCACTAACACCATGCTGTATTTTAAACACACCTGCACCAACTTAGTAATATCATCTAACTGATGATAACCCTGCTAGAAAAATCTACTGCTACTGACCCACTGCTGATATTTTCCATTCAGCACTCCCATGTGGCAAAGCATATTCTTTAAGGCATACATAAATCTATTCCCTTCCATTGTATGTAAGGATTGGTGGATTTCCTTTGACATAAAATAGCCAAAACAAAGGAACTTCTAAACCCCTGTTCTTTACCACCTTGTTTCCCAGTACATATAACATAGAAAGAAGAAGCTCTCAGCCTGAGGAAGAAGAATGCCAATGTTTGAAGAAAATCTACTGCCAAGTCTAATTGGATAAGAAATACAGACCATTAACACCTACATATCTATTTTTCTAAGTGGTCAAATGAAATATGAAATGTTAAAAATCAATTATTTGAATCAGATACCAGCATGTAGATAAGAAATGGCAAAATATATTCTATAGAGCAGGAAGTTAAGGTGCATTTTTTAAAAAATCTATGCCAGTTTATGAAAGATTATCTTTAGTTCCTCTGTTGGCAACATGAAGTTTAATGAAACTCAATGTAAATCAACCATAAATCAAATTGTCTATATAAAGGCAGTACAAATTTAACTAAATATAATTTGGAAAAGCAATTTCAGTTATTTTAGTGAAAAAAGTTTGTGATCCTTTAGACTTGGATAAAATGGTAGTGTGTCAATCACCACTGATGGTAAAAACTTCTATAGTCCCACTCTCAATTGTACTGAAATTCATATGAAGTCCTTCAGCTTGTAGAAAAATTGTGTAATAGAAGGTAGCAACAGAGCAACAGGAATGAGATGCAATTTTCAGGCACAGATGCCTATTATTTTGTCACTCACTTTAAAAGCAAGTTTGAGTGACAGCTAAATTTTTTAAAGGGTTAAAAAAAAAATCTTAGTAGTAGAATTTGTGTCCTAACCTCCCTGCCAAACTGATCAAAACAGTTTGTCATATTCTCAAATAATTTTCCTGTCTCATTTTTTTTTCTTCAGAAGAGCTACACTGATAAACATAATTTGTAAGTTTCTATAAATCTTTTTCCTGCTCTATTTCATTAAACCTTCTAGTTACTCTTTCTCTTGATCCAGACTACTTTTCTGATCTCATTATGCCATCCAGATCCTGAAAAATATTTTGCTTCTTTTCCTCCAAATCTGTATATTATTTGGACTTGTTTTATGCTGTCTTTTGCTTCTATATTCTCATATTACTTGTTGCTGATCGATCTTATCATCTTTTTAGAAATGAGAATTTGTTTAATTCACTCACTATGACTTGCTTACTAACTTGAATCCTTGTCCCCCTTTCTGAGGTCATTGGCATCATTTTCTATGTCAGTGAAATTCAGATCACAAGCTTCTCAAGGCTGAAACTCTATCTTATTATCTATGAAACATCATGAAAAGCTCTAGGGCAGCACATAATGTTTAGCTAATGCTTCTGAGCTGGAAAAAAAGACTATACTAAAAAATGAAGTAGAACATTTTAACAACAAAAACAGTTCCAGAAAAATATATTATATGTAAAATTGCTATCAGTAGAACTACCATACTAGCTGTGAACAGTAGTTCCCAAACACACAACTGCTAGTAATATCTTGATTACACATAATGGATGTTGCTTCTGTGGATGGCAAGAAAACTTTATTAAATCACATTACTACATTAAAACTGACAGGAAAGTGTGTGTGTGTTTGTGGTGTGTGTGTGTGTGAGAGAGAGAGGGAGAGAGAATCTGCATTTCTATTCTGACAGTTCTTGGAAGCTGTGATTCATGCTGCTACTTGCTTTTCTATTCACAGTGGAGGAAAACCCTGTTTCCTTTAGAGTATTTGTTGTTACTATGAAAACTACTTTAAAACAAGCACAAGGTTAAAAAAAATTTTTTGCAGTCTGTTATGATATTTTTAAATGAAACATTTTAATACTTAAAACCAATCAATTAAAATTTGTGAAGATTATGAGTCTTGACAAATATATTTCATATTATACAGCAGAGAATTCTCTAGAAACGAAAGTAGCACAAGCTAATAAAGATTTCTTCACTTTTAGCATTACTAAGATTTTCAGTTTTCTAAACCAACCAGCAGGACATGCTACATTTCTCTACTGAGACTTCATAAAAATCTTCAAGTTGATTTCAGTCTGCTGTTTATTATGATAAATAAGTAATGCAAATACAGGCCAGACAGGAAAGAAGCCGAGAAATGCCATTCTAGACATAAATTCCGTTCCTGCTTTTCAACAAGTAACTCTGTGTTACAGGACAGAGGAGTGGGCTTACTGGAAATCTGATTTGGGAAATACTGTCTTTTGTTCTTATGCTGACAGAAAAATATTATTATTTTGCTATAATGTTACACTATGATATTGTTGGTCCCCCTCCCTTTCCAAACAGCCCAATATTCTTCCTGTCTCCTCAAGCCCTGATCACACAAACAAATCCTGGTCTCCTACCCAACACAGACCCAGTGCATGTTAAAAAAACAGCTCAGTACCAAAATCCATTGCATTATGTCTCATTAAAGAGAGGGCAGTGACACATTTCTCTATATCCAGCTTGCCCATTTTCCCAAAATCTGTGGTAACATTATAGTCTGTGATTTCCATCCCTCCTACAAACATGGCTACAATTGATCAATTATTTCAAAAGCTACTGGTGAATATGTAAGGAAAGAATGAGAGAAAACAAGGGAAAAGCATAAATCACATTTTCTTAGGAAATCAGGCTTAAAAAAAGGCAACTCCCTCCCTACAGCTTTTAATTGAGGAAAATTTCCTAGTTGTTTATTGAGCCAAGGAAAGAAGCAGCTTTTGGCAAAATATTTTTTTATCTTTTTACAACTTCACCTGTAGGTTTCAAATTAAGCTTTGGGGAACTAAGGTGGGAAAGTTACCACATTAAACAAGACAGGTTTTTTCTCCTGTCTTGAGGCTTTTGGATGACTGGTGAAAATCTAAACATTTAACATATCTCTAACAAGAGTAATCTGAAAAATTACACAGCTTCTACCTTAGCACACCAGCAGGAGTCTACATTCTCTGTATGCACAACCATCTTCTCAACAGCAACCTCTAAACTTTTGGAACACTGTTCTGCCAGTCAGTAACAACCAAAATCCAACAGGCAGTCACTAACATTACACTTAACATGCAATGAAATAGCCACCTAACACTTCAAATGCCCTTAAATGCCAGAAACTATTATTAACCACTTCATTAAAAACTCAGACATAAAAATGGAGACTTATGTTTTATTTGTAACAGCAGCAGGATTCTCAGAATTTGAAATATTAAATTAGCTGTATTAATGTAATTTGAGGTACCTTTTTTATGAGGCAGCTTAGCATCTCATACTTTCATTAAGATCATAATTTAAGATGTAAAAATATATATTTATTTCCTCAGTGTTTCTAACGTACATTAGGAAACTCACACATTAACCTCCCACAAGAGCCACTTCTTACCAGCCAGCCTGGCCTCTACATTCACAAATACTTGCCTCAATGAAGAAAGTGCTGAAACTTTCTGGAGATCTATCTACCAGTTCAGCAGATAATTAAGTGCTTGTGGGATCTTGGATCATTCTTCTGCAAGCAATGGAGATACACTCACAAACATGTCATACTGCAAGCTGAAAACTCTTGTAGATGAGGTCACTAGCAATACTACTCCCAGCTAGAAAGTACTTAAAATTCTGACACCATGCTGGGTGATCAGCCCATTCCCGGGTATTCCTCTTTTTCCAAGTGTCTCACAGCAAGACCACTACCATGCAGCATGGTTAGCAAGTTCTGTGGCTTGCTCTGGTTGCAGCAGACCCCAAAGCAGCAGTCTTCACTAAAACAGGGCACAAAAAGGGGATTCCATACAAAAGATCTACAAAAAGGATCCAAAGTACCAAAGGATCTTAAGTACCAAAGCCAGGGAGAGTTGCATCATTCAGCAAGACTTTTTTAAAACTTAACAGAGACACAAACTATGTAAGCAATCAGTGAACACAGTATTTTGCCCTCACCTGTTTCTGGAGTAAGGTTAGTACTCACAGTCCAGGTCCCTGTCCTTGCCATAGACATAGCTAAGCTTTTCCCTTCAAAGCAGGAGTAATATATTCTTTTAACATGCCAGCAGAGGGGAAGAGATGTGCTCTCATTTGTCCAGCAGCACAGGGTTACGGCACAGTAACCTGGATCACAGAAACTGGAAAGCAAATCTCTAGTCTGCCAAACAGGGTGCAAACCCTAATTTCTCAGCAGGCTCTCCATCACACTGAGAAGATGC